TCTATGCATGATAACATCAGTCTACAATTGGGAAGAAAGATTACTCTTCAAAGTAGGAGAAGTATTACCTAGAAGAACCAAAATAAAGGATTCTGGCCTGCTTTTGCTCTGTGACCCTAAAGTGACTACTCCACAAATTGTTCTGTTGGAGATAGATGACAGATGATATAGGTAGATAGATAGATAAATAGATAGATAGATAGATAGATAGTTATAGAAAGATGAATGATAGGAAGATAGAATTTAATATTAGACTCTGTTGCCCTAGTCCTCAAATTCTAGTATTATTTCAGCTGAAACTTTGGGAATATCACCAAAACTGCAAACCAAGTGATAGAGATTTGAGGAATGATTTTTAATACAAAGTATAGTAGGTCAAGTAGTGAGATTTCTGGAGTTGTGTTTCTCAAGGATACTAGCACATTGCTGGAGAGACCATTCGAGAGGAGGAGAAGTCAGATGCAGATGTTGGATTCCAGGAAAAGAGTTCAGGAACTAAAGAACCTCTGTGAAAAAACATTCATTAAGGGTTTTCCTTTTGACTCTTCAAAATATGTTTCATTTCTTCATATTTTCTGAACCTCTCTGAAAATATTTTCTTAAAAAATGAAGTAATATCAACAAATAACAGATCCCTAGCAGATTACAGAACTCATGGGTTGATATTGCTTAAAAGCAGGACAAGATTTAATCAATCAAAAGGTTGGGGGTTATATGATTTTACCAGTGTTATCCAGATACATGCAACCAAGGATTATTGGAAAATGAAGTCATTCCAAGAAAAATTACCTGTGTTTTTTCAGCAAGTCACCATCATATCCTTGGTTCTTAAAAAACATGAGCGATTATAAAGTTGTTGGATTTAAGTTCAAATTTAAAGAGAAATTAAGACATTTAGTAGCATGTTCACTTCAAAAACAAAGGAAACAAAGTAAAAAGACAACTAACAAAATGGGAGAAAATATGTCAGTCATTCATCTGACAGAGGATTAAATTCAGAATATTTAAAGAACTCAAAAAGCTTAACATTAAAAGAAAAGTAATCCAATAAAAAACAGGCTAATGATTTGAACAGACATTTCTCAAAAGGAGTAGTACAAATGGTCAATAAATATATGGCAAAAATGCTTGATTCTGTAGTCTTCGGAGAAATGCAAATCAAAACTACATTCAATCTTGCCAGAAAGAAAGATGAATCACATCATTTTGCAGGACAGTGGATAGAAGTGGAGGACACCATCGTAAGCAAAATAAACTAGGCACAGAAAGACAAGTGTCACATGTTTTCTTTTACACACGGAAACAAATAAATAAATGACCTGAAAGTAAAAGATGGACCCTGAGGGAAGGTGAGGATGGAATGGGGAAGGTAGTGAAGGGTAAGAGCATGTGTAAAAATGTTAAAGTGAAACCCATTAATGTGTACAATTAATAAGTCTTAACTATTATGACTTTTAAAATGATGTTTTAAAAAGTCAATGTTGTGAGAGAGAAAGAAAGCCTAAGGATTTATTCACACTTATTCTTAGTCAATTGAAGGAGACAAATGAGATAATGACAAATAAATGCAATACATGATCCTGAACTGGATCTTGTATCCAAGGAAAAAATATTAGTGAAAAATTTTCAACACTGGAATGTAGACTGAAGCTTCACATATTTAAAAAATTACATTTTGAAACAATTTTAATTTATAAAACCTAGCTGTTACAGAACAAAGAGAATGATTTGAGAATGAGTTGCAAAGTAATGTTCCATCACCTCCAAATACTTAGTGTATATTACATCAAAGATATTCTCACAATAGAAACATTAAAATCAGAAAATTAAAGTTGATACTTTACTATCATCTGATCAGTAGGTTCACTTATGAAATTCAAATTAGAATTTAGATGTCAGACAATTCAGTTGGTTATCAAAAAATTTGCGCTGTTTTCTTTAGACTAAGGTGGGGGCTCAACTTATTTAAGACATTGTTGGCCAAAACCACCGGTTCAAATTAGCTTATGATTCGATTATGATGAAACTAGATTTCCAGGGATAGGGCTAGCTCTAGTGTTTGTTGAATTAGTGGTTAATAAGTAAGGACCTACAGAAGATTGTATGAAAAGAAGTTAATGATCAGTGTAAATATATTGCTGCTATGAGAGAAAACAAGAATTTGGTAGATTTGTAACCACCTAATGTACTTTTCATACATTTTTACTGAGCTGTCAATGGTTGCAGAAAACATTATGATTATATATAACTACTTTAACTGTATCCACACTCTCTGAAAATTTGAGTGGCATCACAAAATTTCCAACAATGCCATGATCTATTTTTAAACATTTTATTTTGAAAAATACGTTAAAATTACAGACAAGTTATAAAAGTACCAAGACCATGAAAGTCAAAGAAGAATGAAGAGCTATTCCAGATAAAAAATGTTAAAGAGGCATGATAATTTTTTGCAACTTATGATTCTAAATTGAACCTTTTTGCTCCAAGGATATTACTGATACAGTTAACAAAAATTTTGAATGGGATCTGAGAAATAGGTGATAGCAAAGTGTCAATTCTTGGCTCAGGACAGAAAGAACCTAGAAACCACCTCCAGAAGAGGACTCTAGCACCCCAGAACTTAGTACCAGAAGGGCCTGAGATAGAATTGGGTGACCAGCCATAGTGATGAGAATAAAGAGCCAGGTGTGGTAGCACACACCTGTAATCCCAACTGTGTTGGGAGGCTGAGTTCAAGGCCAGCCTGGGCTACAAAGTGAGTTTAAGGACATCCTGAATTACAAAGCAAGACCCTGTCTCAAAAAACTGAAATAAAGAAAGAAAGACAGACAGAGAGAGAGAGAGAGAGAGAGAGAGAGAGAGAGAGAGAGAGAGAGAATAAGGGAGGAAGGGTGGGAGAGAGGAAAAAGGAAAAAGAAAAGACAATGAACTAAGATGATTTTGGACAATAATTGAATTTTTCCCAGGGCATATGGGATGAAATCTACTCCCTACTAAAGTTACTTGCAGCCAATCCTTACTAAACTCTTGAGTTTTGAGGAAATTGAATACATTGAACTTCCTCAAGCAGCATGGATGCAACTCCCCTGCCCCCTTAAAAATAGGGTGCTGTAATCTTGGATAACTTTGTCTTGAAACTGTAGTTTTCTTAAAAGTACAATTTCTTAAATTATAATTTTCTTGTCTCCTTTATACCTATCATTATTTTTTTATCCTACCATAAGATTTCTAACAATTTCCAAATGAAAGTTTCAATAAAAAGTACCAAAGCTGGTTACATAGCTCAGTAGATGAGTACTTGTCTCACATGCAAAAGTCCATAGATTCAATCCCACTTCTGGGGGAAAAAAAAGGCTGAAGCCCATTGAGTTAAGAAGTGAAATGTTGGTCATGAGAAAGTAGAAGCAAAGAGTATAAGTTACATGTTCAAAAAGTTTAATAGAACAACTTTATTCAATAGCAAAGCACTAGTTATAGTCTGGAGGAGATACTAGAGTACTACAGGACCAATAAAAATGTTTGATAAAGAAAATACACTGACAAGGAAAGGTGGTTTAAAAAATGTTATTAAACTTTTAAAAACACATAGAATACAGTATACAGTATTTCCATGCACCTAATATGAAGTTTCAAAGTATAGGTTGTCTGTTTCTTAATATGTTTTCATTCTTTTACTTCTAAAATTTAACAAAAAAGTTTCAAAGTATGCAAAGTACAAAGTTCTATCAGTACTATAAGAAATGGACAATACATAACAATAATTTTTAAACATCTCGGTAGTTAAGTAGAACAAATACCTTAATAATCAGGGAAATAAAAATCAAAAACACTATTCTATACTCCTACACACCACCAGAATATCAAAAATTGTTTTAGAAGTTTGCCAATTCTAAGCATAGGTGATGATGTTGAACAATCAGAATTCTCATAGACTATTGCTGGTAGATAGTACAACTTTTTAAATCTCTTTGGCTTTGACTATCAAAATTGAAGATACAGTTGTATTCCTAGTTAAAATATTTATCAATCTGTACAAAATACTCCATTTCTTACAAACACCAACACAAGAATGACTCCAGAGGAACTTTGGCTTATATCACCAAAGGTCACAGCCCCCAAAGGTCAGGTCTGCACTGGGTATTGGTCTGCCAGGGTTCCAGGAACTACTGTGTTCCAGTGGACAAAGACCCAGAGTCATCAGGAAATGTTTGATGGGCTCCCAAGTCAAGACAAACAATGAGAGTAGCTGCTCAGCCATGACTAAACACTGCTCTCTGGTACTGCAACAGAGCTAAAGGAGATGTTGGGGATTTGGGGAAGTGGTTTTTCAGCAACCTGAATAAAAGTATTTCAATACTGCAACAGTTGGCATCACCTTACTAGTGTGTGCTGGCTGGATACCAGTCCTAAGAAAACTCAAGCACATATGCAACACAATACATAAAAAAGAATTTTTACTCAGCCACTGATTCAACACAAGTAAAAAGAAAAAAAGTAGCAGAAAGGAAAGTAGATGAACAAATGACTGTCGATTCTTAGAGTGGAATATTCTACACTAATGAAAAAATTAAAACTACAGGATTATGAATGAATCTTACAGAGTTAAGACAAAAACATGAAAGAATGCACTACATATAAACACATTCATATAAAGTTTTAATAAAACTATTATATAGGGAGGCATAAATATGTAGTAAAACCATAAAATACACAGGGAAGTGATTATCAGGATTGTGAAAGGGCAAAGAGAGTTTCTAGGGCAATGGAAATACCCTTTCCTTAATTATTTGTAACTCATCCTTATACTGTATGTGTAATATACTCTTCTCTATTATTGTATATTTTGCAATTTTAAAAAAGTCTTGGACCTGGCTAGGAGCAGGGGGTTTGGAGCTGAAATATGATAGCACAAATGATGTAATAAGATTGGGCAGAGCTGCAGAGCAACAAAGAAAGTGATTGGAGAAAGCTAAGCAAGAGTAGTATTTATTCAGAGACTTCAGTACAGATCACAGAGCACTCTGGGTAGAGGTAAAAGACTTCTTAAGTCAGAAAGAAACTCCCAAGGCGAGATTCCTAAAGAAAAATGAGTACCAAGGGAAAAGTGAGTCAGTAAACTGTATCTTTGTTGAATTTGTGCTTTTTTGTGTGTCCTTATACCCTTGATAAAGAGGCTTCCTCCAGGGGTGACTCTCAAAGCACAGCAATTTAAATTGATTAAAAGCATATGATAGGTCTCTATGCTAGCAATTTATTCTTAGAAAATAACTGTGGAGTTACTTAAATGTTTACTAGAAAGAATAAAAAGTCAGATGAATTTTTTCCTTACTTGCATTTTAAAATTTTCTGTAATTAATGTGTATATATATATATATGTGTGTGTGTGTGACTTGTAATAAAATTACTTTTTAAAATATAATAAAAACTGTTGAAAAGTAAGTATTTACCTTGCCAAAGACTGGGAAAACCATACCAAAAGTAAAAATAGTAGTTAGAAGGGAAGATTTTAGGTTTGTTTCTTTCTAAGATTGTAATTTTACTCATACTTGAAATTTAAAATGTAACTTGAGGCTAGAAAAATGTTTTCATCTAGAGATTAGAGAATCCTAAATGCTTCATTTCTTTTTATGCATTTGTACCCAAGTTCTTGCAAAGACCAAATTTTTCTTTAATTTATATTCCACTAATAAATATATTAATGATGTGAGCCTCACTTCTCAGGCTTGCTGAATCACCTAGGGATCTTGCTCAATGGTAGATTTCAATTTAATGGATTTGGGGGCACAGCTTTCTGCCCTAAGGAGTTCCCAGGTGATGTGACTAACTATTGGTGTGAAGACCACACTTCAAAGCAGCAAACCCACAAAACACATCTCTGCTCCAACAGTGAGGACTCAGGTAATTTAGAGCTGATTACAAATTATTCAGTAGATGGTTACTGGCCACCCAGCAATGCCTTTAAACCCTATAAATACATGTTCTCTGCTATAAAGGAAAAAAGAGCCAAGGTGTTAGAGTAGGATAAACTTTAATACAACTTTTTTTTGGCCTGCATGTACCTGGCTGGTGCCTATTGCCAGAGTTGGAGGATCCTATAGTACTTCATAAGCTACAGGTTCTCTTGGTGGTCAGATTCTTGCTGACTCACCACTAAAACCATCTGTTAAATGATTTTAAATGTCAGTATTTGTTTTTTGTTATTAAGGAAAATTTTCTTGTAAAACAAGAAAATTCCAAGTGTTCGGCTCAAATTGTGTTGAAGACTGTCTTGTGACATGAGCTTAACTCAGTAGTGTTAACCTGGGCTTGCTGAGCGTCTGGTTGAGAGCCAGCATTCCTGAGAATACTTAGTGTAGCAGAAAAGTGAGCTACCTCAGCTTGGATGCTAATATTAGCGTTTAAAAAAAGAAAACATAAAATATGTAATGACTATAATGTAGAATTTAACTTATGTTTAATTAAGATTTTTGCCTTGAAAATAATATAATTACATATAACATCCAGCCATAAATTCCTTAATTATTTTCATGAAATTATGGTACAAATTTTTTCCCCACGGTATCTTCTCTCCTCTCCCTGTCTATCTCCTTCCTTCCTCCCTTTCTCTTCCAGGTTATTAAATGCAAAGCAGCCATTGCCTGGGAAGCAGACAAGCCACTCTGCATTGAAGAGGTTGAAGTAGCTCCCCCTAAGGCTCATGAAGTCCGAATTCAGGTGCGTTAGGACCCCTGGGCAGGGACAGACAGGCTGAAGGGCAGACTTGATTTCTTCAGTTAATCCTCTGAGATATGACTGAGAGACCTTAACGTTTCCACTAGTAGAGAGTCATATTTTAGGTCTAGATGAAAACAAGAATTAACCCTATGATTATGTGTTATTTTATTAATTCTTATAATGGGCTAAAATTAATTGAACTATCTTAATATTGATAATCAACTCTAAGAATCAGGCAAAGGAATTCAGTTTGGATTAGAATTAGTTAGGTTTTCTCTTTGTTTCTCAGTTATCAATTCTTTGAAAGCATTGTTAAAAAGAAGATAAGAGGGCTGGGGATTTAGCTCAGCGGCACAATGCCTGCCTGGCAAGTGCAAGGTCGTGAGTTCGATTCCTGGTACCGGAAACCCCCCCAACACACACACACACACACACACACACACACACACACACACACACAAGAAGATAGAGAATTAGGACCAAAAAAAGGCAGAGGGAAAACCTGAAGAGCCGCCCTGGGCAACAGAAAGATCCTGAGTGCCCAGGGATAAAACAGGAGCCCATCAGCAGGGAGAAGCTGTATTGAGCAGAGCACACACAGCCAGTTTGGACAAGTCCTCCATTTTTTCTCAGGACCAACACAATACGGATTGTACATCAGAATGAATAGAACAGACTCACAGATTCTGAAGAAGAATTATACAGGGATACAACAATAATTAATTTAGGCAAGATTTTCTTTTAACTATAGGAGGTTTATTACCACAACTTCATTTCCTGCAGTCTCAGCAAAATTTGAACAAGCCATTGAAAACCTGCATTCCTTCCATTCCCTCTCTCAATAACTTCCTTTGATTTTTCCTCTCTTGGGGACAGAATTGCCAATCTTACCTCATTTTATGACTTCCCAACAAAAATGAAAGTTAGAAAAAATATATTGTGGGAGGAAAAGAATCTAGTATATCTTTGTGCTTTTTTTAAATATATATTTTTTCGAGTATAAGGGGTGTTGCAGTGCTTCAGGTTGCCATTAGGCCTAAAATTACGAACATCCAGCCCAATAATATAATTGCAGAAAGATGAGTCAAGTCTGTGATTGATTTGTAGATAATCGCCACTTCCATATGCCATACTGATGCTAATACTATAGATCCAAATTTTAAAGAGGCTCTTTTTCCTGTGATCCTCGGCCATGAGAGCGCGGGAATTGTGGAAAGTATTGGTCCAGGAGTGACCAACTTCAAACCAGGTATTTTATGTTCTGGTTCCAGTTAAATAGAACTATCAGGCTTTTCCTGATACTGTCCTGACTTTGCATGCTCTAACTGGTCTCTACATCAGAGGACTACCTTTCCCAAAGCAAAACTGAGACATATAACATATCACTCTAACAAAGATACAGAATATTTTAAGTCAGAACTGTCTAAAAAGTTTGGTATATATGGCCACTTTACTTACATATAGTGCTGAGAAACTGCCCTATAACACAAGGTAGAAGGTTATTTTAAACTGAAGCTTCCCTGGTGCACAAATGATAATAATAATAACTTCCTCTCAAAAATGGAAAACTATTTTAACACAAAGAATGATAATTTATATAAGGTTGAAGATAAAAACATTATGCATCAGTCACTGTTAGCTTAAGTGTCTTTTTGGAAGTTTGTAAGCTAAAAATAATACCTAAATGAAAAACACCAATGGTTGAAATTACTTCACATTTTGTAACAGGCTTACCACATACTGGACTACAGGCTATGTGTGTAATACTCACTGGACAGAAAGGACAAACCGTATCATTCTTTCATCCTTTCATGATACTGTTCCAAACTTCGACATATATTGGTATTTTCAATTCCAAATAAGATCCTAGAAACAAAGTGTTCCTTGAAGTTTTATACAGTGAAGGAACTGACCAATATAGTCCTTTTAGTCCCAGCTCTGCCATTTACTTTCTAGCCGAGCACATCATTTTTCATAACTTCACTCAGATTTCTGCTTCCTAAAGTAGGAATAAAGATAGTATCCTTCTCAGATGGCTGCCCTAAGGTGAGATAACAATGTAAGCAGTTTGAGTGGGGCCTGGCACATACTAAATGTTGAACAAATGTGAACCATAACCATTAGACCTTGGCCAACAAAAGACAGAAGAAATCATTAAATTGGAATTGCACAAAAAGCAAAAAGATGTGGAATTTAAAAATAAATTTAAATGTCAAAACATGAAATGATATATGCTATGTATCAAATCCACTATGGTTCATCTCCTCTATTATACACTACAAAGACTGTATATCTCATACAAAGTATTTGGAAATGTAGTAAACCACAGTCATGCTGTAGGGAGTGGTATTTCATAAAAAATACTTTCCACTGATACATCTGTAAGAACCTGTTCACAAGAAACCATCCAACACATGTTTTTTCTTTCTAGGTGACAAAGTAATTCCATTCTTTACACCTCAATGTAAAAAATGCAAGTTCTGTCTAAGTCCACTCACAAATATTTGTGGAAAAATCAGGTAAGCTCTCCATATTATTAATTAGAGTATAAATTGGCACAAATATTTTGGACAGCACTTTGGCCATACCTAAATAAGGTTGAAGGGGTGCAAGCCTTCCACCCACTAATTCTACTTCTGTGTGTGTACAGAATACTGTTCCAAATGCATCATAGATACATAGTAGAATATTCATTGCAACATTATTTGGAATAGTGAACAATTAAATGCAGCACAAATATTCATCAATTAGAGTGTGGATTAATAAATTGCTGTATGGTAACAAAATAGAATACAATGAAAATTGCTAAGCTTGAAATACATATAGTTAACATAGAATAATCTCACATATATAATGTGAAGAGGAAGAAGGAAGCTGCAGAAGGATATATTTAATAAGATGTTATGTACAAACACAATACCATACTTGTTTATATATATATATATATATATATATACACACACACACATATTGTATATAAAATAAAAATATAAGTACATTACTGCAATGGTAAATGCCAAATTTGGAATGGTATCTATTTCTACAGGGGTGAGAGAAGGATACAATCAGACACAGAGAAGTAATTTACTCTAGGGTCACATAAATGTAATTCCCGGAATCAAGTGTGCAACCTAGGCAGATGGCTCAATAGTCTAAATCTTAATCACCTAATTTTTATTTTACTGAGACTAGAGAAAGACTCATTTGTCCTTAACATGACTGAAATTAGTTACTTAAAGTGTTTAAAGTATATTACTTTTATGTCTTATTATTGTGCCTCAGTTTCTTCATTTATGAAATAGTGATTATAATGTCTGCTTAGTAGGGTTGTTGTAGATTTTCAAAGAATTTAAACTACACTCCTTGGCAAAACTTTAGTGAAACAAAAAATATAGAGAATAACCATAAATTCTAATATCACAAAAAGAGATAATCAGATACCATGTCCCTCCAGATAAAACATATCAACCACTTTTGAAGTATTCTCACAAAAATATAAAACTAGATACAGATCAAGTGTTTAAATAAAAAATACAAAGTTAGGAGAAAATATGGGGACAGAGTAATACATTAGACCAGATTTCAAGAATGTAATCAGCAAAATTCACTAAGAGGAAACTCTAGGACAAAAAAACTCAGTTTCTTCAACAAATAAATTGCAAACAAGGAAAAAGGGAGGGGGAGAACCTACAAATGAAAGAGACTTAAGAGAAATATCAACTAAATGCAATGTGTGGACCTAAAAGAATCTTTCAGAGATACATATTGTGATATTTCAATATAAAGGAAATAATGCTGTCTGGAATTTGCTTCAGAATAGTCCAGTGCAGGGGAAGAGTATGTATTATGGAGGGGTAATAGATGAAACTAGGTTATTCATGAGTTAATAGCTACTGAAGGTGGGGGATGGGTACATCAAGGTTCATTATGCTGTATCTTTGTATCTGTGTTTTGTGAATAAATTTTAAGAGTTAATACACATAAAGCCCTTAAAAGAGTTTCTGGCACACAAAAGGTACTCAATAAAAGTTTGTTGGTATTATCTGTAAAATATTTCTAATAAACTATATATTAGTGTGAAAACTCTCACATTATTTTCTCATTTTTTTTCATTTTAATTCCATAAAAGTCATTACAAATATATAATGCCCAACATATACATTTTTCAGGAGTATATTCAGTATTCAGTATTCCATTCTCTCTCTTTCTCTCTCTCTCTCCCTCTCTCTCTCTCTCTCTCTCCCTCTCTCTCTTTCTCTTTCTCTCTCTCTTTCTCTATTTTCTAGGAAATTTGATACTCCTACCATTGATCAAGAACTAATGGAAGATAAAACCAGCAGGTTTACCTGCAAAGGAAAACCCATTTACCATTTCATGGGAGTGAGTTCATTCTCTCAATACACTGTGGTGTCAGATGTTAATCTTGCCAAAATAGATGATGAAGCAAATTTAGAGAGAGTCTGTCTGATTGGATGTGGCTTTTCATCTGGTTATGGGGCTGCAATCAACACTGCCAAGGTAAATAAACACCAGGTTACTTAAAACATAGGTTACTGGGAGACAATGTTATGTAAAGGAACTAAAATGAATTATGTTCAAATTCTAGGTAGGTCATTTATCACATCTGTGATTTTAAGTAAATCAATTAATTTCTGCAGAATACTATCTACTATAAATACTTGTGGCAATAATTAAATATTACATATGTAAAATATGTAGCCTAGTAGCTATATTATGGTTGGCACCTAGCATGTTATTTACCGTACCAACATGTTAGATTATAGATCATCCATGACTTAAATACAGCCTGCTAAATATGCTCCCTAAAAAAGAATGTTCATCTTGAAACTGCTCAAAAGGTTACAGAAACCCTTACCCATCTCCATTCAGGCACCCCTACTTTTTTCCTGATGCCAAGATTCTTCTCATCCAATTTATCTCTGCTTTGTACCTCTGCTTCTGTTCATATCCTGAGTGATTTCAAGGGAGTGTCTCTGGTGGAAACTTACAGTAGCAAGATTTGTTCCAGGAACCCCATGCTAGAATTTTAAAAGTCTTAGAGGGCTGTTTAAACTGTAGACTAGAGAGATTTCAAAAAAGGCTCTCCCAGTCGGATACCTCAAACAACCTCATTATTTTCTTCCTTCATGTCAGTCCTATCCCTTGATTCAAAACTGCAAAATACAACGAAAGAGTTTTTGCTAAAGAACACATCTGCTGTCAGTCTCCTTGCACTGTTTCCTTCATCCCTCAAGGTGAGGTCAAATGCCTCAACAGGCATTTGTCCCTTAGCTCTGCTCACATTCCCTCCGCACCTGCCCAGAGTTGCCAAGCCAGGTTACCAATGGCCTCTTGGACTTTTGCACTTGGCTTCTACCAGCACTGCAGGGAAGACTACCAATTGCTGTCATGCTGACTTCACTTTGATACCAGTTCTTCCTTAAGAATGTTAATACGAGTGATTCAGCTACAGCTTTTGCTAGCTTTTTCAAATTAGCTTAGCAGAATCTATTCCTCCTAACTGAACCTTGTCCTTTGACCCACACCTTCCCATTCCTTAATGCTCCCCTCCCAGCCTCAGTGATCACCATTCTACTCTCAGCTTCTAGCTGAACTGCTTAGAATCCACATATCTGTGAGAGCACACAGTATAGTACTTGTCTTTCTGGGCCTGACTTACTTTACCCTAGCACTATGTCTTCCAGGTTTTCCCTGTTGTCACCAATGACTCCATATCCTTTAATGGCTGAATAGCATCCCTTTTTGCATACAGACCACATTTTCTTTAAGCATTCATGTATTTATAGACAGGTAGATTTCATAACCTCCCCATTATGAATAATGATGCAACAGATGGGAATGCAGGTAACTATTTGATATACTGATTTCATTTCCTTTAGATATAGTCCCAGTAGTAGGTTTTCAGGATCTTATATTTTTAATTTTCTAAGGAACTGCAATACTGCTTATTGTAATAATGAATGCATTATTTTGCATACCCAGCAAGAGTGTATCTTTTCTCCACATTCATGCAACATTTGTTATCTTTTGTTAATAACTATTCCAACAGGTAATCTCTCACTGTGGCTTTAATTTGTATTTCTCTGATAATTAGAAATGTTGAACATTTCTTTTCACCTACCTGTAAGTCTCCTTTTGAAAAATGCTTACTCAGGTCTGTTGCCCATTTTGCAGTTGGCTTATTGTCTTTTTACTATTGAACTGTTTGACTTCCTCATTTATTTTTAGTATTAGCCTCTTCTCTGAAGTATGGTTTGTAAACATATTTTCCCATTCCATATACTGTCTCTTCACACTACTGACTGTCTTCTTGGCTGTACCAAAAAAAATTAATGTAATCCCATTAGTCTATTTTGCTTTTGTTTCCCATGCTTTATAGTCATATTGAAAACAAATTATCCAGGCTGTTGTCATGGAGATCCCCCCAACACTGCCATGTTTTCTTCTAGTAGTTTTACAAGTTTCAGGTTTACATTTATTTATTTAGTCCATCTTGAGTTGATTTTTGTATAGTGTGAAATATGGGTTTAATTTCATTCTTTTACATGTAGATATCAGGTCTTCCACTTATTAGTTTGTCCTTTCTCCACAGCATAAATTGAAGATGTGTGTTCACTCTTTTCTTTATCAATTTGTTCCTAATTTTTTTTATTTTAAAGAGAAAAAAATAAAATAACAACAATGAAGACAAAAACAAAACAATATAAAAACAATAAAAATGATACAGGATTTCAAAACAAAATGATAGGAATTAACAGTGGTTGTTATATTACACATTGTTATCTTCAACAAGGTTGCTCACATTACCAGATGTAAGAATGCAAGATTAATCAAACAATTAAAGACAATAACAAATATAATTTAAAAAACATTAGAAGTGATACAGAGTTTCATTAAACAGGATAGCAGGAATTCAACAATGGTTGTTATATGGCATATTGTTCTCAATTTAGAAGGTATCAACATTTCTTTTGGACAGACTTGGTCTTTTCTTTTTGCTTATCTTTGAATCCTAATATTTTCCTATCCTCATTAGAAAATACTAATTAAGCACCTTCTGTATAGTGTTTTTCTACCGCTATACCACTCTAAAGAATAATATATCACAGTTATAGCATTTTCCTTCCCATCTTGTTTCTATTTAATTCAATGTAGCAAACATTTATTAATGAATCAACATACTGTACAGAAGACTCTGATAATGTATGAAAGATAAAAATTTTAAAAGTCTTGAAACGACGTACACATAATAAATCATAGAATATCATAAATTATATGACACAGAAAAACAAAAAGTTAGGCATTGATTTCTGATTGAAGAATCAAGAAAAGTTTCATGGAGAAAATGTCCTTTAATGTCAGGCCTAGAAGTTATAGGTTATATTTTAATTAAAATAAGATGAAAAGTACATCAAGCTGAAAGAACATCAGGAATTAATGTATGAGAGGGAAATGGAACCATTTATTGTGGCTCGCTGTACTGGGAATGTCCTGGAGATGAAGCTGGAAGGTAAACAGAAGTCAAATAGCAAAACTCTTTTTATGTCATGCAAAGACATTTAGATTTCATTCCATTTAAATGAATCAGTAATCTGGACCAATCAAGTTGGTCCAGATCAAGTTAAACTGACCATGAGTCAGTTCACAGTTAAAAAAATATTAGTGGTCAACGATATACGTGCACTCATGTTTACAGCAGCGCAATTTGTAATAGTTAAATTGTGGAAGCAGCCCAAATGCCCATCAACTGAGGAATGGATAAAAAAGTTGTGGTATATTCATATAATGGAGTATTACTCAGCTATAAAGAAAGACAAACTCAAGGCTTTTATAGGTAAATAGATGCAACTAGAGAGCATACTCATAAGTGAAATAAATCAGACTCACATGTGTAAACATCATATTGTCTCCCTAGTGTAAGAACCTGAAAGAGTAAATAAAATCTGAAAGGTACAATAGGTATTGTGAATGGAGAGAAACTGCTCAAAAGGAAAGAACAGCTGGGATGAGGGAAAAGAGAAAAGAAAGAAAAGGAGATATATATATATATATATATATATATATATATATATATATATATATCCCCTTCTATACACACACACACACACATACACAATAGCTAATTGTACTACTAATTTCTATTGCTTTATTGAAAGGAACAGTTAATGTGTAATTGTTTGATCAATCTTGCATGCCTATATCTGGTTATCTGAGTAACCAATTTGAAGATAACAATATGTAGTACAACAACCACTGTTAATTCCTATCACCTTGTTTGAAATTCTGTATTTTTTTTTGTTTTTGTGTTGTTTTATGTGTTTGTGTTTGTTAATTTGTTTCTGTTCTCTCTTTAAAATAAAAAAGAAAAATATTAGTAGTCATTCAAAACCAATTATAATATTTTTATTTTTTATTTTTTTTTATTTTAAGGATAAAAGGAGGGAAACATTAACAGACATACAACATTTTACAACATATCACAAGCACAATACAGACAATACAGAGTTACAAACAAAGTGGTAGGGAATTAACAATGGTGGTTGTATTACATATTGATATCTTCAAAGTGGCTTCTCATGAAAACAGATATAGACATGCAATACTGGTCAACCAAAGACTCATTGACAGTTTCTTTCAGCATAGAAACAGCAGATAGAAGAACAACCATGTTATCTATCCTGTATATACATACATACAAAATTTCTCCTTCTTTCCCTTCTCTTTTCCCACATCCCAGAAGCCCTTTACTCTTCGGTGGTTTCCTATCATTTCACAGTGTCTATCATACCTCCGAGTTTAACTTAACTCTTTCAAGTTTTACACTAGTGACACAATGCGGTGCTTGCACATGTATGTTTGATTTATTTCACTTATGAGTATGGTCTCTAGTTGTGACCATTTAAATATAAAGGCCTCGAGTTTATCTTTCTTTACAGCTGAGTAATATTCCATTATATAAAAGTACCATAATTTTCTTATCCAATCCTCGGTGGATGGACATTTGGGTTGCTTCCACATTTTAGCAATTACAAATTGTGCTGCTATGAACATAGGTGCACATATATCACTGTGATATGATGTTTTTAGATCTTCTGGGAAAATACCCAGCAGGGGGATAGCTGGGTTGAATGGGACCTCTAAACCTAGTTTTCAGAGGAATCTCCAAACTGATTTCCACAGTGGTTTCACCAGTCTGCATTCCCACCAGCAGTGCAGAAGGGTTCCTATTTCTCCACAGCCTCGCCAGCATTTGTTATTGGTTGATTTCTTAATGCTAGCCATTCTTACTGGGGTAAGGTGGAATCTTAGTGTTGTTTTAATTTGCATTTCTCGAATGACTAATGATGTTGAACATTTTCTCATATATTTATTTGCCATTTGTATCTCCTTGTCTGAGAAATGTGTGTTCATCTCAGCTGCCCATTTTTGGATTGGGTCTTTGAATTTGGAGGGGCTGAAATTTTTTAATTCTTTATATGTTCTAGATAGAAGCCCTTTGTCTGAGGGACAATCAGCTAAAATTTTTTCCAAGTTTGTTGGTTTTCTTTTGACTCTGCTGGTGATTTCTTTAGATGTGCAGAAACTTTTCAGTAGGATGAGATCCCAGTTGTTGATTCTTTCAAGTGTTTCACGTGCAATTTGAAAACCAATTATAATATTAATACAACCAAATAAGGTCTATAGAAATGTGGATGTCAAATCATTTGTAATTGAACTTAAAAAGAGAAAAACAACCTTTGGAATATGTGGACTTTTGAATTTTGTTCTGCAACACCAAAAGGAAAAGTAAAACAAGGGAGTAGTTCTCACGTGTTTGTTCCCTATGAATTTATAATCTCAATTGTCCTTCAATGATTCTCAAAATTTAGGTAGTAATGTATCATTTTCACACTGGTAGATTTTCTCCATTGTCAGTATTTATATAGTTTTATAAGAGGCAGCCTTTTATTATATGTCCCCCATCCTAACCTTCCTCTTAAAAAAAAGTTGAACCAGCTGCTTGCAAAGTTACTTTATAATTTCTCTGCCTGCAGGTCACCCCTGGTTCTACTTGTGCTGTCTTTGGCCTAGGAGGTGTAGGTCTTTCTGCCATAATTGGTTGCAAAATAGCAGGAGCTTCTAAAATCATAGCTATTGATATCAATAGTGAGAAATTTACAAAAGCCAAAGTCCTAGGAGCGACTGACTGCCTCAATCCTAGAGACCTAGATAAACCCATCCAGGAGATCATCATTGAACTGACCAATGGAGGTGTGGATTTTGCCTTTGACTGTGCAGGAGGATCTGATACCATGGTATGTATATATTTTCAATTTATTCTTTAATCATCAACTAATCGGGGAAGGTGGTCATATTTATTACAGTATCTATATTTATAATCATTCCTTAATATTTTGAAAAGTGCTAAGAAGTTGAACTGTCAGCTATAAGTCATTTACTCCCTCAACTATGCCATATTTCTTTCAATGCCCACTCATACTTCCTGTATTAGTCTGTTTGCTGTTACTATAACAAAATATGTAAGACTCAGAACTCATAAAGAAAAGGTATTTATTTAACCCAGCTTTGGAGGCTGAAAGTTGAAACAGCATAGGGCAAGTTCTGGCAAGGATTTCCCATCTACATTACCTTGTGGCAAGTGAAATCAGAGAGAAATTACATTGCAAGACAGGAATCCAGAGTAAGAACAGGGACCAGTAACAGTTACTCAATAGGCTCTGCCTATTAATGATTCCACTAACCCTGAACATCACAACACAGAAATCAAAGCTCCCAACACATGAACCCTTAGGAGATACATTTATAGCATATTCAAATCAGTATTTCCCAAATGGAAATGCTATATCTGTGAATTCACTCTTGTGATAAGATAAACAACTTTACTAGCATTGCTTATAAATTAGTTGTATATGTTGGTTTTTCTTTTGAGATCCCTTTTAAGTGGATCCCTCTTGTTATACCAGAAATAATATTTTCTAATTTTATTTTCTATGATCATTTCAATTTCTTATCTCTCAAAGATAATTTGGGTGTTCCTTTGTTTTCATTAGCTAAAAGGATGCCCTTTTGACTATTAAGTCAAGAAAATGAGGTGAAGAGTCAACTGTAGTTCATAGCCAATATATGGAAAAGTTAACTTGTTGAAGCACCCAGCTTTATTCTTTAGTGAATAATTATGTAATACATATTTGCTCAAAGATACTAAGAAGAATTTTTGGGGTTTGTTTTCTAATGAAATGATTAAATAATTTATCAACTGAATTTTCTGCCTACTGATTTTTCTTGTTTTATTAGTGAAAGTTTCAAAGTTGTTTTATTATTACTTCTTTTTATTTATACCTTTGCTTAGCCTGGTTTGTAAACATGCTCTTGGGAAAGATATAAAGAATACAATTCTATACCACAAGCTTCCACAAGAATATATTGTGCTGCTTCATTTTCTTGGGTCTTCATATCTGGAAGAGAACAGAGAGCCAGAAGAGCTATGATGACAGCAACATTAAAACTGTATCTGGCACTCAAAAATCATTAGCTGTTACTGAAAATGCATGCACTAAGGGCTTTTTATCCTGTACTACACCCTTCTGTTCATAGCTTCAGGTCCTAATTTTCAAATTTACTTTGGAATCTGAAGCCAGCAATATGCCACATCCATTCCTCCACTTCCCATGGCTCAAATTTTTTTAGAAACACTGAAATTCAGCCTACTTATCATATTTTTCTAGTGTAATGGCTATACATTAGACTTACTCAAGAAATTCTTTTTTCCTCTCAATACTGAAGAATGGGCCATACTCTAGGACAGTCGCATTAAGACTGTGGTACCAATATATTTTTACAAATTTCTCAAATTGAGAACCAGTGATACAAAACATAGCATATTCTATTATTGGCTGATTTATTATACCAACAAAGATATTTTAAGTTATGGAAAAGAATTATACCAAAGAATTAAAATGAAAACAGGTAACTTATTCTAATCACAAAAAGATAAGTCACATACCCTACCCAAAATTTCCACAACTAGGAAAAAAGCTATGAATTTGATCATAATGATCTCTAACGCTCTAAAGCAGCCAAAAGAACCCACCAAAACAATTATAAAATTATATTAACCATTCTGTAGGATTTTGCCAATGTTACCAAAAATAGCTCTTACCAAAAGTTATCCGAATCTACTAAATAAAACCTTGTGTTTTCATACAGTACTCATTTCAACCAAGCCATTATTAGGAAGGTTAATTCCTTGCTTAAAGCAAAGCTCAGAAATGTAGAAAAAGCAATAGGAGATGACTTTTTAAAAAAATCGATGTAAGCAGCTACATTAAAGTGATAACTCATGCCTGTGGTCTTTTCCTGTCTCAGAATCTCTCTGTACAGTCTATAAATGTTGCTGTCATATAAGAAACATGTTTCTATCGTAAGAAAAATGCAAAAAGTAGAAGATATTTAGAAGGGTATTTATGAGTTCTCAAAATAATAACACATTCAAATAAATCCTTCAAAAAACATTCTAAAAGTTTTAAGTCATTGCACATTCTATCTTAGTAAAAGTGGAGGAGACAGATACATTAATTGCTTCTTTCGTATGGTGAAAAGTCATGTGAAGCAGTCTACTGAGTTTTTGTTTGGTTGGCTTTGGTTTTTTGAGACAGGGTCTTACTATGTGAGTTCAGGCTGGTTTTAAGTCACTATCTCAAGGTTGATCTCAAGCTCACAGCATTGCCTCAGCCCCCCAAGTGCTAGGATTACAGGTGTGTGCCACTATGCCTGGCTGAGATCTTTTGTAAACATAAAATTTACCATAAAACATTAGAATCAAGTTGCCTACATAGAATGGGCCCAAAGTTTACACTGTTTTTCTGTAATATCATTCTCAAAGGATTAAAATGTATATTCAGATTAGGGTTTGTAAATGGATTGGCATCCACAAGTTCATACCTTGAAATTTATTTGCATTTTCAATCCTTGACTTTTTTTTAAGATGAGGTTTCACTATGTTGCCCAGGTTGGTCTCCAGTTCACAATCCTCTCAACTCAGCTTTTGAAGTAGCTAGGATTACGAGCATGCATTATTGTACCTAGCTCATCCTTTGCAATTTATATTAACCCCAAATTTTCAGTAGGTTCACATAAGTGTTCTCTGTCTCATTCAAAGATCAGTGTACATACAGGCAACTTTCCCAGATTAATGTCTTCCATGTGATGACTCAGTAATCAAAGAAGTTCAATCTTAAGACTTCACAATCTCAACTTGAGACCATGTTGGTTGTTAGAGCAAGAGAAAAGATGGTGGACCCAGCGCAACCTAAATACAAAAAGGCTAGAAATGTAGGGAAGCAGATCAAATATTTGATGAACAGCAGCCAGCACTGTTTTCTATGAGAATTTTGCCCTGTTTTAAAGTTTTATATTTAACCTACTTTGAAATCTACTAAGTACATAGTGTATGCCTCATTTCTTAAGCTCTAGTGAATACTTTCTTTATGAAAGTATCCTTTATGACTTTTAAGGATTTTTATTTTAGCCAGGTGTAGTTGCTCATACCTGTAATCCCAGCACTTGGGAGGCTCCTCGTGAGTTTGAGACCAGCCTGAACTATGCAGCAAGACCCTGTCTCAAACCACAAATAGATAGACAGATAGATAGATAGATAGATAGATAGATAGATAGATAGATAAACAGATGATAGATAGAAAGATATGATTTACACCATAAAAGATTTCGATTCTAGGTCCCTGGAAATACAAATATTTTAGCAAAGCCCATGACAGATTGTCCAAAACTTGCTGATTAAAGTTGTAATCTTTTGTATATCTTTCCTGTTTCCATGTATTTTTATATAAAATGACGCACATTCCAGATTCAATTTAATTGTGTTACTCTTCATGGTACAATAATACGTCCTATTTATTTATGATACCGTCTTTGATGTGGCTATGGATGTTTTCTTAATTTTACTTTTTTATTGTGCTCATGAGCGACGTGAAGGGGAAGATGGGGCAGTGGTGTGCCACCACAGACTCCGCAGAAGCGAGGCACACGCCACTGCCTGGCACTTTCTCTGCCGAGACGTCTGTCAGACCCAGGACACAGGGTGCGCAGCTTTGCGGACTCAGTTTGTTTCCGGACCTTTTCCGGAGCCCCGCTGTGCAGCTGCCACGCAGACTGAGAGGCAGCGAAGGTCCGGGCGGCGCGGAGACCCTCAGATTTCCGCCACGAGCGCTTCCCGCCCCGCTCTCCACCAGTCCTCGGACGCGCGGCTGTGCGGAGCGCCGCCTGGAGGGAGCGCGGGCCTTGCGGCGAGGAGCTCTCCCGGGACGCGGCCCGACCAGGGCGGCGGCACCTGCGGAGGACCGGCGTGGCCCAGGGTGGCGTTTCAGCCGTGCAGGGCCGTGGTCCTCTGTGACCACGCAGTGACCGTCCGCCCCTCTCCGCGCCACGGCTTCGCCCAATTCCCCGCGGTAATCTCTGCGCTTGGCCTTCCAGAGCGCGGCGCTGGACTGCACGACAGTGGGCTGGGGGTCTTGCACCGTGGTCGGAGTAAAGGCTGGCGACGAAGGACCGAATGTTTCCCCAGTGAAACTAATAATGGGCCGCCGCATAAATGGAACATTCTTTGGTGGTGAGTTTTCTTTTCATAATTTTAATTTTTCTGGAGTGTAGATTATTGAAAGGAAAGGAATTTATTTAAATATTGACTGCGTAAAACATCGAAAGACAACAAAAACTATTCTATTTATTTGAAAATATAGTTTATAGAGAAAGAAAACAATTGGCAAATTGAAATTCAATCCATGTTACATTTAAATGAACCAATATAGAGGAAAAAATAAATTCTGACCCAACTTCATCTAAAGTGAAAAGTAATCTTCAGTTTTTCTTACGAAGCAAAAATTTTAAATAGATATCAGCACAGAAAATTAAAGATGGAAGAGAGAAGTTTAATGTATTTGAAGTATCCAAATCTGACCTAATAATTTCACTCATTCAATGAACACACTGACTAAACTACTTCTTCATGGCATATGCCATGTCTTTCTTTATTTGGCATTTGGCCAAATTACAGGTTGGAAAAGTGTAGATTCAGTCCCAAAGCTGGTTGCTGACTATAAAAATAAGAAATTTGATCTGGACATTTTGGTGACCCACACCCTGCCTTTTGACAGAATCAATGAGGCATTTGACCTAATGAACCAAGGAAAAAGGTAAATTACCAAATATATGATTGAGCGGTTTAGAAAATCTTTATTGTCAGTCTATTTTTATTTGATTTAAGAACTGTTTGTCTTTTCTGACTTTCTATCTCAGAGTCATTAAATGCTTTTAAAAGATTAAATAGTGGCCTTTTGGGGAAAAAGAAGCGCTTCAGTTTCCATAACATGCACTCTCTATATACTGTTACAACATAAGTGGTAATATAAATTGACATTTTTTTTTCTTTTCACAAACAACTCAGCTGGGGTTGCTACCTAGGACAAGGGGTTTCTGTTAGTATAATATCAGCTCCCTCAGAATAATTTGCCCTTAAGTTTGGAATCATTATGATCTACAATTTGATTAGAATGACACCCAGTTTGGGCCCTTCATGATCAGAGCCTTATGAACCCATTCAGATGTGAGCAGAGTGGCAGGCACCAGATGTGAAAAGGGTGCCAACTTTGTCACAGGGCTCTTACAAGACACCTTCTGACCCACAATTTTAGCTACATTGTGCTCCCTTATCTTGGAGCCTAGGAATTGATTTACAGCAATGTCCCAACTGAGGGGCCTCTAGGGCTTGGGAATGGATAAGATTAGGATCAATTATTTTAGTTAAAATGTTTAAGCATAGCCTTGGTCAGTAGAAGCAAAGAGCAAAAACACCAGGAAGAATATTTCATAGAGGAGACACAAGGCAAAGAATAAATTAAAAGAGAAAACATGGGGAGTAAATTAAGTAAAAATGGCAGAAGTTTGAAGCAGAAAATAAATGTTGCAGAAAAAGAAAACAGGCCTGTGGTGTGAGGACCTAGCTATTTCATGAGGAAGAAACCCAAGAAAATACTCCCACTGACATAACTCTCCAATTTGCAAACATGTTAGCCACAACATTATCAAAAAAGTTTAAAAAAAAAGAGATTATTTTTAAAGCTACACATGTAAGCTTACACAATATCTTGCACAATATCAGTATGTCCATAAGGAGTGTTCTTCATGTTAGGGGTTGGGTTGGAGTTTGGGGCCTTGCTACCTGGTGCTCAAGCTTCTCTATCACAGTCCTTTTCCCTACTGTCAGTCAGGGAATAGTCAATGATCTCTCACCTATCACGGGACTTACGTTCCAGAGACCCCCACAATGGGTGAAAATCCACTAAGTAGAGGCATTGTATTTATTTTATTATTTATATATATTTTAAAGCCTTATAAACCCTTCCCACACTCCTATAAACCTTTCCCACTCTCTTATTAACCTTTCCCACATTCTTATAAATACTTCATATGCTCTTGAACATTTTCTACACTCTTAAACCTATGTAATTTTAACAACATGCAAAATCTATATGGGTACTCACCAGTGAAGTACTTTACCATAAAATCCCACAATATAGCAAAAACTCCGCGATACAGAATTAGATATTTTTTAAAACCCGCAATACAGTGAAGTGGCAATAAGTGAACTGCGATATAGCGAGGCACGACTATACTCATGAGCAATGCCAAGTGGCAGCCAAATGGAAAATGCTGCATTGCTTTATAAGTAAGGAGGCAAATCCCAAATGTGCTACAAGGAGGCTTCCCTGGTAATAAGTGGTAGGGGTAGATGCCTGAGTGGTGCTTTTTATTCCCTTGCTGGTCCTCTGAAGAAACCACCTGACTGCCCACACAGACAGAAAGGTGGCAACAGAAAAGGCAGAGAACGGGCCTTCCCCAGGATATTCATCATATGCACACAGAAAGTACATATGAGGGCAAGCTCTCTCACCATACTAGCTGCACAGAAGTAAGGAAGTGGGTATAAGAAGGTGACACAATGACTGACAGCCTGCTGAGGCACAGTGACCCTGCCCCCAAGGTGAGGGAAAGACACCGCAGTTCTCCCTCCATAGGTAGATGTTCCTAGATGAAGAGAATATTTAGGCATAGTACTCTGCTGACACACGGATTGGATTCCATAGCTACAATAAGGAATTTATCTGTCCTTTAGGCTTACCTCCTGTTTGTTTCCACATGTTAAAGTTAACCAGGATTGAAAATATTTGGGTTCTTAGGGAGTAGCATCCCAAGACACAGACCTCCCTCTCCTTTGTGTGTTTTTTTTTGAGCAGGGTTTCACTGTGTAGTCCAGGCTGGCCTTGAACTATGTAACCCAGGCTGGCCTTGCAATCCTCCTGCCTCAGCCTCCTGAGTGCTGAGATTATAGGCATGTAACCCACCACACCCAGCCTCCCTCTCCTTTGATACCTAACTTTGCCCTTGGCAGTACGAGAACCAAGAGCAGTGACTATTTGGAAGCTAAAAACCCTTTGGGATGCTCTACTTTTCAACAAGATCACTGAGAACAAAGGTATCACCAAGTCAAGTGAGGGTCCCCAACGTTCCCTCAGATTGCTGGTACTATCTATAAAACATTCATGCTATGAATGAGATGACAAAATAGAATAAATGCACCTTACAGTAAGTATCTATAAAGAAAGATTAGACCAAACTGTAATGAAAAAGTAAAACTTATTTGTGAGCTCTGCTTAAACTTTTATGTATGGTGTACTGATTATTTTCTCATTATTAATAGCATCCGAACAGTCCTGACCTTTTGAAGATGCCAGGAGCCACCGGAGTATTATCTCATTGATTCTGAACCTATCTGGTTAATCTATCACCTTATCTGATGAAACAAAGCAATCTATGTTTTAAACCAATATTTACAGTTAATATCTCAAATAAAATCAACATAAATCTGTGGCCATAAAATATACTATTTCATGTATTAAATAACTACAATAACTGCAGTGTTTCTTAATGGAATCTTAAGATGTTTAGGAACTGTTTAAAACTAGTTCTGGAGAGGTAGAAGTGGAAAATATAAGAATAATAAGTAAAAGTAGATCAGTCAAATGTTTATAATTTTGTAAATTGGGTGATGGATATATGAAATTTACTTATAATGTTGCCTCTGCTTGTCTGTTGAAATTTTTCCATAATAATAAGATTTTTCATGAAAAAACATATATACTGTATACATACATAAAATGCTATTACATAATTTCTGTGTTCTAATAAGCTAGAAGCTACTCCTTTCAAAGAAAGTGCATGGTCCTGAGTTCAATTCCTCATATCAAAAAAAAAAATTGAAGAGGAAATTCTGATTGCTTTAGGTCAGATGTGGTTGTACATACTTATAATCCCAGCACTTGGGAGGCTGAAGCAAGAGGATTGTTGTGAGTTTGAGATCAGCCTGGCCTACAAAGTGAGCTCAAGACCCTGAACTGCATAGTGAGACCCTGTCTCAAAAAAGACAATTAATAAATAAACTGCTAAATAATTTTCTCTTTATTAGTTTTTAATGTCTTTTCTCTTGGTCCCACTTTATCATTATTTACTGTAGTAACAAGTAATGATATATCAGCATCTATATAGATAAATATTTTAAAAAGAAAAACATCTCTCAAATTTCTATCTCTATAAAGTAACTGGCCTTTTATCTTTAGTAATTACTAGATGGTGTTTTAGTGCTTTACAGTATAATGCTGTGTAATTGGTACAAACCAAGTATTATTACTTATAATAAAGTAATATAGTATCTTAAGTACTTTTCTCAAAATACCCGACACCCAAAGTTAAAGGAGGAAAGGTTTATTGTAGCTCAGTTTATAGAGATTTCAGTCCATAATTGGCTGACTCCAAGGCAGGGTGACATGGCAGAGAGGCATCACAGCAGAGAAACAGTCCATGGCAGGGCAGGAAGGCAGCAGCAAGCCACAGAAGACTCTCCTTTTTGTCCCTTCCAGGCTACCAATGTTTTGGGTAGTATCACCACAACCAGGTGGGCCTCCTCATTCTCCACATCCAGACTATGTCAAACCAATCAAGGGACTTATTTAATAATCACACACCCTAGATCCAGCTGGCTCCATAAAGCTCCACCTATGATATGAGGCTTTGGGAGGACATCTTGATACAAGCCATAACATATAGTATGTAAAATAGTTATATTTATAAGATTTAACAGATATTATGATTTATATTAAAAAGTAGTAAAATGAGAGTTTCCAAATTATTATACTTAAAGATTCACAATGAACAAAGAATACAAAGGTTATGAAAGATAAGACAGATTATTCATGTGGAAGTAATAAAGACTAGCTTTCAACATGGAATAATTTCTGAAATGTACCAGTTTTTAAAAGCCATTTACTCTGAGAAAGTTATATTGAACTCGGACAGAAAAACATCTCTGAAGCTTTTGCTGGTGAGGGTAGTAATATTTCACAGCAAAAACACATTCTCTTTTAAGATTCTCTTTCATGAGAAATACAGGCCAGCCTGTATTTATAAATGTTTCTTTTGTTGGCATCCCAGGGACTAAGATGTACCCAACAGGTTGTTAGCCTTTTTCATGCTGTTCTCCATGTCAGACAGTTTCTCTCTCTTCAACTCCTCTCCTTTGGCTCTGAGCATCTTTACTGAAATCACCCACCTTTCCCAGCCCCATACTGAGAATTGAATCCAGGGTCTTTGCACTGAACTGCATCCTAGCCTTTTTCTCTTTCTATCTTTCTTTTTCTTTCTTTCTCTCTCTATATGTATGTATGCATTTTTGAGACATAAGTTGCTAAATTGCACAGGCTGGGCTACCACTTGGAATCCCCCTGCTACCCCAACCCTCCACAGTGCTGGGATTACTGAAGTACCACCATGCTGTTTTTACCGGAATCTTAATTGTAACGCATACTGGTTCCATTGTTTTTTCAAGTAGCTGTCTGCAAATTTCTTGAAGTCAGAACAATCTATCTCTCTGTCAAAGTCTTTTAAATATATGTTGCTTGATAACAAAAGTTTATCCTCATAAATTCTGAACAGTTTACATTGTCTCTTTTCAGTGAAAATTCTCCAAAACATTTACTTTACTTTCCTTGTTCCTACACAGAAAATCCCAAACCTAACCTTAACAATTCCTGGTACTAATAGCAATCATTAAGTTTATGCTAAATTGTGAACAAGTAACCCCCCATTACTCCTATCAGCCTTCAAATTTTCATGTCTAGTTCTGTGATTTCTAAGTAAATCTAGCTGAAGGTGATGGCACACCCTTGAAATCCTCACATTCTTGGGAGGCTGAGGCAGGAGAACTGCAAGTTTGATCCTTCTGGACAACTTAGTGAGACCCTGTCTCAAAATAAAACTTAAAAAGAACTTGAAGTCTACTTCACCTGTGGAGTACTTGTCTAGCATATGGAAAGACCTGGGTTAAAAAAACAAACAGGAAAGAAAGAGGGGAGATAAAAAATTCCAACAAAATTGTTAGAATTATTTATATAATCAATGAAAACCCAGAAAGAGGTACAAAGTTTTAAGGCTTAACTTTGATAAACTTTTAGCGGCAGGGAGACTTTTTTATCACCCATGTACCTAGTTGAAAAACCTAGGAAATGTAGTTATAGTTTAATTCTTCAAAATGTACACCTATTGCCTAAGTTGCCCAATATATATCTCTCTCAAAATGAGAATTGAATAATGATGATACTCTAGAGAGAACATAAATCATATAACAGTAATGTAATCCCCAATATGTAGAAAGATTCTATTTAAGAATTATACTACACCTGGGAACCTGGGACTCAGTGGCCTGCATTCCATCACCATTGTAGTTCAAGTCTCAGCCCTGCACACTCCATCAGCTGCCTGGGGACACTGGACATGGCAGTCTGCATTCCACCACCTCTGCAGTTTGCATCTGAGCCCTGTGGGCTCCATCAGCTGCCTGGGGACCCTGAACCTGGCAGTCTGCATTGCACAGCCATTGTGGTTCATGGCTTAGGGGTGTGCACCTTAACCCACTGCCTGCAGACATCAGACCTGGTGGCCCACCTTCCACTGCCATCGGGGAGCAAGTCTGACATCCAAGAAAACTAGGGACCCAAGAGACCTTCAATGAGCTACCCAGGTAGGGTGAGGCTTGGGACTTCACCTCCAGCATCCAAAAGGACAAGACAAAGGAGGAAAATGCAATCTCAGAACTCCACCCCACCCAGAATAGGTCCAGGAGGCATCAACATAGAAGAACGGGGAAGTCATACATCTGAAATCTCTGACATGATCACAACCGAAGTAAAGAAACAACTCCATCAGGCCATAGAAGAAATCAGATCAGAAAAAATCTCTCAGATAAAAAATGAAATGACAACAATAATGAATTTCTCAGCACATCTAAAGAAGACATATAAAAAAGTGGATGAGCATAGAAATACGATGGAAACACTAAATGAACGATATAGGAATGAACTAAAATGCATGAAACAGGTTCAAAGAGATATTCAGGAAATCAAAACTTCCATCAAAAGCTGGCAAAACCACTTGAATGAGGCCAAAATACAATTTCACACCTTTAAGATAGCATTGCAGCTAATGATTGTGAGGGGAAAGATCTCTTAAAAATGCCAAGGCACCAGGAAATATCAATTCACAGCTGTAAGATGATGCACACAAAAACAATGTAAGACTTATAGGTGTCAATGAAATGCCAGGAGGCAATACAAATGACATAAAAAGAATATTTGCAGAATTAAAAGCAGAAAATTTCCCAAAGCATGGAAAAAGAATCTGACATACTGGTAATGAGGCATATAGAACTGCAACTAGCCATAACTAAAATAAAACTACACCCAGACATATAATAATCAAGATCCCAGAAATCCAGCAAAAGAACAGAATATTAAAAGCTGTTACAGAAAGGAAATAGATCACCTATAAAGGAAAGCCCATCAGAAGCATGGCAGATCTTTCAACACAACCAAGTCAAGAAGAACTTGGAGTGAAGTATTCCAGGTCCTAAAACAAAACAGCTTCAAACCTAGATTGATGTATCCTGCAAAACTATTCTTCAAATTTAACAGAGAAACAAAATATTTCCACAACAAAGAACAACTGAAGAACTTCAAGAGTACCAAACCAACCCTACAAAGAGTACAAAAAAAATTCTACACACAGATAAAAATGACCACAATTTCAAGAATAACAATACAAAGGAACCATCAAGCAGAGCAAGCAATTAAACAGAAAACAAAAGCAGGAAACCAACACCAGGTGAATAACATGACAAAGACAAGCCAACATATTTCAGTTTTGTAACCATTAATGTAAATAACCTCAATTCACCAATCAAAAGAAGCAGACTCTGGCAGAGTGGAACAAGAAACAAAATCAAACAATATGCTGTATACAAGAAACACATTTAACTCAAAAGGAAATTCATAGATTGAAAGTCAAAGATCAGAAAATAATTCTCCATGTGACAGGAACCCAGATAAAAGCAGGGGCAGCTATTCTGATTGCAGACAATGTGAACTTCAAAACAAGAATGATACAAGGAGATAAAGAAGGTCACTACATACTTGTTAGGGGAGAACTTCAAGAGGAATAGATAACAATTATAAATATGTATGCACCCAATATGGGAGCACCCAACTATGTAAGACAAACCTTAAGAGACATAAAAAACCAAATAACTAATAACACTGTTTTAACAGGGGAACTTAACACCTATTGACACAAAGAGATAGGTCAACTGGACAAAAAAATCAGCAAAGAAATAACAGAACTGAACAAAACCTGTGAACAAATAGACTTAGTAGACGTTTACAGTGCTCCACCCCACAACATCAGAATACACATTCTTCTCAGCTGCACATGGGACATTCCCTTAAATAGATCACATACTAGCCCACAGAACATGTTTAAGTAAATGGAAAAGAATTGAAATTAATTAACAAATTCAGTATCACAGATACTGAATACAAAGTGAACACTCAAAAATCAATAGCATTCCTATACACAAAAAACAAACACACTGAGAGAGAAATTAAGGAAACTATATCTTTCACAACAGCATCCAAAAAACTGAAATGCATAGAATCAATCTAACAAAAGCAGTAAAAGATCTATGCAGTGAAAACTATTATACTCTGAAAAAAGAGATAGAAGAGGACTTCAGATTTGGAAAGATATTCCTTGCTCATGGATAGAAACAACCAACATTGTGAAAATGGTCATACTCCCAAAATTGTTATACAAATTCAATGCAATCCCAGTTAAAATACAATTAATATGCCTCACAGATCTAGAGAAAACA